GTGCTGATTTGGCAGTGGGCACAGCCAGGCCTCTGGCGCCCTCGGGCGTGGGATCGCTGGTCCCGTCCCCGGCGGAGGGCCAGCGTCCCTTTACGAGGTGACAGCCGGGTGGGCGGTCTTCCGTTTGCACATCCGCGTCCCCTGTGGCCGGCCTCCCGCCGCGTCAGCTCGCTGCTGTAGGACCCCCTCCTGAACGGTGACGTGCTCCCTGCTAACCAAATGGATTCCGAAGGTAGCCTGGGCAAGGGCCTCTCGCATCCCGCCATGTGGAACCCGCTGGCTTTGGGTGGCGCAAAGCGGTGTCCCATGCCGAGCGTCTGGAGGTTCTGTGCTCCACACGTGTGGACCCATCGAGTTGTCATGAGTAGTGTCCTGCTGAGGTTCCCACGCACTTCTAGGCACTGCTTGCTTGGCTGTGAAGCTGGGGTGGCAGGCGCAGTTTTGTTGCCTGTGGATGCGTTGGAAGATTGGGGGCCTTTGGTTATTGCGGTGGTGACTGTCTTTGAGATAGGGTTTCACGTAGCCCAGGCTTGCTCAGGTGGTTAGTTCAGGGTTTGTTTAGTTAGGGCTGGACTTCTGACGTGCTGGCTGTGGACTCTTGATCTGTATGCTAACGAGGTGCTTGGGCTTGCAGGCTCGAGTCACCGCGGACTCACTGTTCCTTATGAATGACAACCGAGGCTCCATCTTGGGCTGACGGTCGTGGTTGTAGTGGCTGTGTGCGCACTGGAGTGTTGTGTGGGCAGGCCACGGCCACGCGTGGGAAACGACATGCTGCTGCCTGCAGTTTGCTCAGCTGCCCCTCCCCCATCCCAGGTGAACTTCACGGTAGACCAGATCCGTGCCATTATGGACAAGAAAGCCAACATCCGGAACATGTCAGTCATCGCTCACGTGGACCACGGCAAGTCCACACTGACGGACTCCCTGGTGTGCAAGGCGGGTATCATCGCCTCTGCAAGAGCCGGTGAGACACGCTTCACAGACACCCGCAAGGACGAACAGGAGCGCTGCATCACTATCAAGTCCACGTAAGTGGGCGATGCTCAGCCGTCACTGGGGGCACCTTTGCTGGGAGTCTCCATCCAGCATCTGGGGAGGGGTGCCAGCAGGTGCCCTATGGCCGGTGTAGTGCCTGCTCCACAGTAGACTGAGGAGTGTAAGGCAGAGCCTCTGCCGGCCTGATCCCTGTCTCCTTCTCCAGGGCCATCTCCCTCTTCTATGAGCTCTCTGAGAATGACCTGAACTTCATCAAGCAGAGCAAGGATGGATCTGGCTTTCTCATCAACCTCATCGACTCTCCAGGCCATGTGGATTTCTCCTCAGAGGTGACAGCTGCACTTCGTGTCACCGATGGAGCTCTTGTGGTGGTGGACTGTGTGTCTGGTAAGCAGATGGTGGCCCATAGAGTGAAACTGAGGCATACAGGGCACTTTGCTTTATGTGTATTTAGATACATAGCAGCAGGGAGAGTGAGATTCTTGAACTTAACAGCAGGGAGGCGGGGGTCTCCAGTTTAAGGACAGCCAGGGCTACATAGTGGGACTCTTGTCTCAAAAATCCACGAACACAAAGGGACAGGAAAGCCCAGTGTTGTGCTCTGGCTGATGACATTTCAGCTATACCTTCTAGAAACTTTGGTCCCCTGTACACATTCCCACACAGAGATGTGCTTTTCTGGGGACTAGTGTCTGGTTCCAGGCATTCTCTGCTAGCCCCAAGTGGCACATGCTCACATACATCACTTTAAAAATACATCTACAAACCCCATGTCCTCCCCCCCAGGTGTGTGCGTGCAGACTGAGACCGTGCTGCGGCAGGCCATTGCCGAGCGCATCAAGCCTGTCCTGATGATGAATAAGATGGACCGTGCCCTGCTTGAGCTGCAGCTGGAGCCTGAGGAACTATACCAGACCTTCCAGCGCATTGTGGAGAATGTCAACGTCATCATTTCCACCTATGGCGAGGGCGAGAGTGGACCCATGGGAAATATTATGGTTCGGAGCCCACCTTGTGGGGGGTGGGTCTGTGACCATGCTCTGTAGGAACCCTTCTGGCAGACCACACATGATGACTGAAATTCTTCACTTTGACCTGATGTCTGTTGAAGAAACTCTGTGTCTGAGCCTGTGGGGATCTTGGCTGGGTGGGCTTCTAATGGATGTTCTTGGCTCAGCGCTGCTCTCCTTCTTCAGATTGACCCCGTCCTGGGCACTGTGGGCTTTGGCTCTGGCCTGCATGGCTGGGCCTTCACTCTGAAGCAGTTTGCGGAGATGTATGTGGCTAAGTTTGCAGCAAAGGGTGAGGGCCAGCTGGGGCCTGCTGAGCGGGCCAAGAAAGTGGAGGACATGATGAAGAAGTTGTGGGGAGATCGGTAAGTTTAGCTCCTACCTGGACCACGCAAAAACCCCTGTGTGTGGGGGAATAGCCCTGTGGAATGTGGCATAACTTGATCTCTCCCTCTGTAAGGTATTTTGATCCCGCCAATGGCAAATTCAGCAAGTCCGCTAACAGCCCTGATGGGAAGAAACTGCCACGCACCTTTTGCCAGCTCATCCTGGACCCCATCTTCAAGGTGGGTTGGGTTAGCTGTGTCCCTGGCCTCAGCGCAAGCCCTCAGAGCACCCTTGCCCTGGAAGCAGCTCTCCAGTGCCCGCCTGAGCCCACTTGCCTCTGGTACAGGTGTTTGACGCCATCATGAACTTCAGAAAGGAGGAGACGGCCAAGCTGATTGAGAAGCTGGATATCAAGCTGGACAGCGAGGACAAAGACAAGGAGGGCAAGCCCCTGCTGAAGGCTGTGATGCGCCGGTGGCTGCCCGCAGGGGACGCCCTGCTGCAGATGATAACCATCCACCTCCCTTCCCCCGTCACCGCCCAGAAATACCGCTGCGAGCTGCTCTACGAGGGGCCACCTGATGATGAGGCGGCCATGGGCATTAAAAGCTGTGATCCCAAGGGTCCCCTTATGATGTACATTTCCAAGATGGTGCCAACCTCCGACAAAGGCCGCTTCTACGCCTTTGGTAGAGTGTTCTCCGGGGTAGTGTCGACAGGACTCAAGGTCCGCATCATGGGCCCCAACTACACGCCTGGGAAGAAGGAGGACCTGTACCTGAAGCCCATCCAGAGGTGGGCGCAGTCCCGTGCCTGTCCACACCTTCTGCCTGAGCCCTGGCTGCCTCCCATGGTGCCCCTGTTGACACTCCATTGTCCCTCCCTCTAGAACCATCCTGATGATGGGCCGGTATGTGGAGCCAATTGAGGACGTGCCCTGTGGGAACATTGTCGGGCTGGTTGGTGTAGACCAGTTTCTGGTGAAGACAGGGACTATCACCACCTTTGAACACGCACATAACATGCGTGTGATGAAGTTCAGCGTCAGCCCTGTCGTCAGAGTGGCTGTGGAGGCCAAGAACCCAGCTGACCTGCCCAAACTGGTGGAGGGCCTGAAGCGGCTGGCAAAATCTGACCCTATGGTGCAGGTGTGCCTTAGGCAGAGGGGTAGGGGGCACTTTCTGCCACAGACTCAGTGGTGTGCCATGGTTAGAGGGCAACTTGGTAGGAGGAGGGCGGTGCCTTCCTGGGTGGTGGCAGGGTTCTCACCACTGTTCCCATAGTGCATCATTGAGGAGTCTGGGGAGCACATCATTGCTGGAGCAGGTGAGCTGCACCTGGAAATCTGCCTCAAGGACCTGGAGGAGGACCACGCCTGCATCCCCATCAAGGTGGGCACCCTCCTGGGTTCCTGTGAGGAGCCAGGGCCCCTTTTACCCCTGCTGATGCCTGGAAGTTCTTGCCAGCCATGACAGTCTTATTCCTCCTGCAGAAATCTGACCCTGTTGTCTCATACCGGGAGACAGTGAGCGAGGAGTCAAATGTGCTGTGCCTGTCCAAGTCGCCCAACAAGCACAACCGATTGTATATGAAGGCCCGGCCCTTCCCTGATGGCCTGGCCGAGGACATCGACAAGGGTGAAGTGTCTGCTCGCCAGGAGCTCAAGGCACGCGCACGCTATCTAGCTGAAAAGTACGAATGGGATGTTGCTGAAGCCCGCAAGATCTGGTGCTTTGGGCCTGATGGCACTGGCCCCAACATTCTTACCGATATCACCAAGGGTGTGCAGTACCTGAATGAAATCAAGGACAGTGTGGTGGCTGGCTTCCAGTGGGCCACTAAGGAGGTGAGTGGCTGGGGCCTGGGTGTTCCTTCTCTGGAGACCAATGCTTTCTTGACTTTCAGTAGGTGTTGGAGTGTGGCTGGGTCTGACTAACCAGCTTTCCTAGGGCGCTCTCTGTGAGGAGAACATGCGTGGTGTGCGCTTCGATGTCCATGATGTGACCCTACATGCTGATGCCATCCACCGAGGAGGTGGTCAGATCATTCCCACAGCTCGTCGTTGTCTGTATGCCAGTGTGTTGACTGCACAGCCCCGCCTCATGGAGCCTATCTACCTGGTGGAGATTCAGGTAAGAAAAAAAAACATGCCTGCCTGTGTGGCGCCCATTCACCCTTCTGTGCATGCATGCCAGTTCTCACTGGTGCTCTCTGTCCTTCAGTGTCCTGAACAGGTCGTGGGTGGCATCTACGGTGTCCTGAACAGGAAGCGTGGCCATGTGTTTGAAGAGTCCCAGGTGGCTGGCACCCCCATGTTTGTAGTCAAGGCCTATCTTCCAGTCAACGAGTCCTTTGGTGAGTGTCATGGCTTCCCCTTGGTGTTCCCAGCCCTCTGCACTCTAGGGTGGCTGCCTCATTGGGTCAAAAGCAAAGTGGTCTGTGTATCCAGATGGTGGTGGGCAGGGAGCCAGGAAATGTGGAAACCCTTCCTGAGTGGGAAGACCAGGCAGGGGGAAGCACAAACCGAGGGGCTAGGCTCTTGCTGAGCCTCTTGCCTTTATCCAGGTTTTACAGCTGACCTGCGCTCCAACACTGGTGGCCAAGCTTTCCCCCAGTGTGTGTTCGACCACTGGCAGATTCTGCCCGGGGACCCGTTCGACAACAGCAGCCGTCCCAGCCAAGTGGTGGCTGAGACCCGCAAGCGCAAAGGTCTAAAGGAGGGCATCCCAGCACTGGACAACTTCCTGGACAAACTGTAGGCAGGCTTGCACAGCCACACACTGCACAGTGCCCACCCATCAGAAGACACCTTGAGACTGTCCCCATAATGCTGCTCTGGAGGTGGCTGGGCCCCCCCTGCCATTGAGCACTAACACTTGATGCCGATTCTATTTATTTCGGAATTTCCGAGGCAGTGGAGTCGCCCTCTGCAGGCTGGACTGGCTGGCGGGCCATGGGGTGGGCAGGACACAGCTCTTTATCATTTTCAGAGGGAAAAATGCTCAGATATCAAACATCTAAATAAATGCATTCAGAGGTTTATGGGGTTCATTCATGGACTGGAGTTGCCCAGGGGATGCAGATTTGTGGCTCCTGGGAGGTGGGTGATCTATCGGCCCTGTCTGGCCCTTTGCAGTAATAAAACTGCTGTGGTTGACCTTCCTGGACTTTGCCAATCTGGCACCCTACAGTCACCCTGTGTCTTGGTGACAGAATGAACTTGGCTCAGGGTTCAAAAGCGGCTATACACCCATTGAGGCTCTTGGGCGTCCTTACCCTTGCCCTGAGGAAATTCTCACATCACCACTTACATTAGCCAATCGGGTTAGAGGAGGGAGCCTCAGTCCACCAATAGCATCGCTACCGGCTGTGCATGTGCAATTGCTGAGCCTGTGCTGCTGGCCAATGAGCGCTTTCTTCCGGCTTAGCCAGAAGTCGGTGCCACCAATAGCCCTGGTCTTCCGCCTAGGTGATGATGCTAGCCAATGAGCGGAGGCTTCCTTTATCCCAGTAGACACGGACCAATTATACCTGATTTCCGGTCATGCGGGGAGAGGGATGTGGGCGTTCGGCACATGCGCAGATGCCTCCCCAGGGCTAGCGCAGGTCGTGGGGCTACGCAGGCGCCGGGCGGGGACTCGCGGACTGCGGATGGTACGGAACGGCAGGGGAGACGTCTCGGGGACACAGGGGACACGCGGCGAGGGCGGGAGCCAGGGAGGGTGCCGGTGAGGGACATGGCAGTTTCGGGACGCTTCAGCAGCTGGAGAGGGGCCGCTAGGACTGCGCATGCGTCAGCACTGCGGCGACGCCCCTGATTTCCGGGGTGCAGGTGAGCCTGATTGACATGAAGGGGCCTCAAGAGCCAGAAGCTGTGGAAGTGTTGAGAGTAGAGATCATGTGCACCCCAGCTTGTGCTGGGGTGACATCCGGGAACTGCCACTGCAGTCTGCGTTTTATAGTTATGTGTGTGTCCCGTTTGAATGTCATTGTTTCTTTCCTTTTAATTTATCTATACCAGTGTGAGTGCAAGTACCTGTGGTGACCTGAAGAGGGTGTTAGAGCACCTGGCGTGGGAATTATAGGTAGTGGTCAGTCAGCTGGTGTGGGCACTGGGAGCCGAGCTGCACCCACTCCTCACATCTGAGCCTTCTCTCCGGCCCCTGCGTACACGCTCACGCGCGCGCGCACACACACAGTACCCTCATGAAGCCCAGCCCGACTTCCAACTCACCAAGTATATGAGGATGCTCTCGAGTCCTAATCATCCAGCCTTCCCCTCCCCAGTGCTGGGGCCACAGGTTTGCTCTAGACATGTGAGGGCTTCTGAACCTGGGCAGCGATGATGGGGAAGGAGTCTGACCTCCCTCAGCACAGAGCCTCCTGGGAAAATGGGTTCCCTGATGAACAGTTCCTTGTCCCTGTGTCTCCCTAGATCCCCTGTCCCAAGAGTCCTCCAGAAGGCAGGTCGCCATGTCTACATTCAGGCAGGAAGACGTTGAGGATCACTATGAGATGGGAGAAGAGCTGGGCAGGTGAGTGGCATTGGGGTGTGCGTGACAAGTGGTGGCCTGCACCCTTCCTGTCCTCTGTCTCTGTGGCCACTGACCTCGGTTGCTTTTCTCAGGTGTCCTTGTGAGTGAGCTGAGGCAGGGTGACACCTCAGAGCACTGTCAGCTACTCACAGAGATCCTGCTGCCTCTGCCTCCTGTGCTGGAACTCAAGTCACCACACCTGGCCTTGGTTGATTTGTTTGTTTGCTTGGTTTTTGGAGACAGGGTATCATGTACCCAGGCCGTTCTTGAATTATTTTTAAAATTTTTATTTATTTATTTTTATTTTGTGAACATTGTTGTTTTTGCCTGTAAACATGTCTGTGAGAGTGTCAGATCTTGGAGTTAGACAGTAGTGAACTTGGCCATGTGGTTGCTGGGAATTGAACCTGGGTCCTCTGAAAGAGCAGTCAGTGCTTTTAACCACTGAGCCATCTCTCCAGCCCAGAACTTCTTTTATATAATTACTGTGTTTTGTGTGTGTACCACAGATGTACATGGAGGTCACAGCACAACTTCCTGGAATCTGTTCTCTACCATGTGGGTCCCAGGGACTGAACTCAGGTCATGTCTTGAAGACCTGGTGTTGAACTTATCCTCTGCTTCAGCCTCCCAAAGTGCAGGTGACAGTTGTCACTCCCACACTTCGTGTGCCGTTTCTAGACTTAGGTCTCTCTCTTTTCAGCTTTTATTGGTGTGTTTGATTCTCCCCAGTGTTTGCTTGGTGTTCCTTGAGAAAGCCAGATTTCCCCCTCACTTCCCCCTCTGCCCACCAGGCCCATCCTCTTTTTAAGGGACCTCAGACCTTATAAGGCAAGGTCTGGCCTGGCCAGCCTTGTGGGAACCTCAAGGCCCGCCCTATGATATCATCTGGATGGAATGCAGCCTTAAGGAAAGCTGGCTGGGGAGAGTCCTCCTGACTCCTTGGGGACCTTGGACCACTTCCTTCAGGAGTTTCCACTTCAGCCACACCCCACAAAGAATCTCCCAGCTAAACTCTGGGGCACCTAATGTGCTGATGTGGGGGGGACCCCAGCAGGAGGGTGCCATCTTCCACATGAAGAGCCACAAGTGGTGGTTACATCTGTAAGCCCAGTGCTGGGGAGGTGGAGCCATCACAGGTTCAGTGAGACCCCCAAATAAGAGATGGGGCTGGAGGGATGGTTCAGTGATTAGCACACTGGCTGCTCCTGCAGAGGACCAGGGTTCAATTCTCAGCGCACACACAGGGCTCACAATCATCCGTAACTCCAGTACTAGGGGATCCAATGCCCCCTCTGGGCAAAACTCAGATTCCTCTAAGTATGGAGCCCATGTCAGGGCTGCTAGGGCTGTTCTTGGGCCTTCATCTGTGCTATGCCCTCCTCACCACCAGAAGATTCAGAAAATACAGCCCATATATAGTCACACCTTGGGGATGGTTCCAGGACCCCCTGATGTCCTAGGCTTTGATGCTCCAGTCCCTTCTAGCAAATGAGGACATATTTGAGCCTTACCTGTCATCTTGTGTCCTTGATGGACAGCGTTCAGAGTGCTGAGGTGGGTCATCCCCAGGGCCTGACAGCACTGTACACTAACCCACTGCTGGGGTCTCTGCATCTTCATTTTTTATTTTAATTTTTTTTTATGTTTATCTTTTGGTTTTTCGAGATAGAGTTTCTCTGTGTAGCAGTCCCAACTGTACTGGAACTAATTGTGTAGACCAGGCTCGCCTTGAACTCACAGATATCTGCCTGCTTCTGCCTCCTGAGTACTGGGATTAAAGGCGTGTGCCACAACCACCTGGCTTGTTTTTCTTAGTTTATAAGAGATGGTTATGGTATGTGTGTGAAGGTGGAGGCTGATTTTCTGTCTCTTCTGTCATTCCCTACCTTTTGGAACATTTATTTTTGTTTTCTGTGCACCATGTTTTGCATGAATGTCTGTGCACCTGTGCACAGTTCCCACAGGGGCCAGAAAGTCGCATCAGGTCCCCAGGCCTGGAGTCAGCTGGTTGTGAGCTACCCTGTGGGTGCTGGGAATTGAACCCAGGTACTTTGTGAGAGCAGCCAGTGTTCACAGCTGCAGCTGCACAGTCTCCCAGTTCCTCTACACCTTGTTTGTACAAACGTGTCTCACTGGCAGAGCCTACTGATTGGGAAGAGCTGAGCAAGGAGCCCAGTTCCCTCGTGCTAGGGTTACAGGCACATCCCTGGCTTTTCATTTGTGACCTGGGGATTAAACTCCAGTCCCCATGCTTACAGGGCAAGCCTTTACTGACCCAGCTGGCTGCCAGCTCGCACATCTCTAAGTGTCTAGAGGAAAGACTTGCATTTCACGATCTGGACAATACCAGGAAAGATCTGTCCCTGCATTTATGCTGATGAGGTAAGGGCCACAGGACCAGCACACACACAAGTAGAGACCATGGCTGGGCATGGTCATGGGTACCCATGACGCTGCGTACACTCAGCATAGAGTGGGCCTGAGGGAATCCAAACACACCTGCCATGGCTCCTGCTTCCCCTGGCCCTCAGTCGGGCCAGGTACACACAGCCCTGAGTAGCCTTGATATGTAGACACTTGTCAAAGCAAGAGTGACTCAGGCTGGCATCAGTCGTTCTGATGAGGTGTACCGCCCACCTGGATGCTCGGTGATGATGTGGACCTTAAGCTGTTGAGTTCCAGGGCTGGGAGCAAATGAGGGACAGCCACTCAAGTGCTGGAGCATCCTTGGCCAGAGCCAGGTGCCATGCTGAGGGTACCTGCCTGTGGGACACTCCAACCCTGTCTGTCCTGTGTGGCCATGGCTGAACACTGTCCTCAGCTGTGAGGTGGGCTGATGGTGGCAGTGGCCTCACAGGGTCATTGCATGGATGACACAGCACAGCATGAGCCAGGTCAGCACCTGTTGGAGAAGGCCACATCCTTAGTGCACCTCAGTGTCCCCTGGGACCTCTCTGTGATCCCTGGCCTCAGGAATGAGCTGCTGGAGTCACCATGGTGTTGGGGGTGGTGACTCACCTGTGGGTGCTGTGTCTGTGGAGGGGACCTGGAAAGTGAGCCATTGTTGCCAAAGTCCTGGGACTCTCATTCTCCCTTCCCCCAGCTCTATCAGGGGACAAAACGTTGGTGCTTCTGCAGTGGATATGGACATAGGGTCCTAGTACAGGCAAGGCTGGGGCCTTTCAGGCAGGCCTCTTCCCCAGGTGTGCTCGTCCACCCACCATAGCTGGCTGTGCTCTGCCTAGTCCTATCCTCAGACACAAAGCTTTTCAGAACAGCCCCATGTTTTTGTTGTTTTGAGACAGGGTGTCTCTGTGTAGTCCTAGTTGTCCCAGAACTCACTCTGCAGACCAGGCTGGCCTCGAACTCATAGATTCACCTGCCTCTGCCTCCCGAGTGCTGGTTAAGGATGTGTGCTGCCACACCTGGTTTATTTCTTAAATTTTGCTTGTGTGTCATTATCTTTGTGTTGTGCCATGGTATGCATGAAGGGGTCAACTTGTAGAAGTTGGTTTGGAAATAGAGATCTGGTTGTCAGGGTGGGTGCCTTCCCCTGCTGAGTCTTCTTACCAGTTCCATGTTGAGAAAGGGTCTCATGTAGCCCAGGCTAGCTTCAAACTCATAGCCAAGGATGACTTTGAACTTCTTATCCTCCCTGTCTCCATCTCCCCAGTACTAGGATGATGGGTATACCCCCAAAATATTCCTGTTTGGAGAGCCTGGGAAAATGTGCAGGAGTCTTTTGTCCCAGCTTCTGTGGTAACAAGACAGGACAATCCCTTGGGCTCAGGAGCTTAGGGCCAACCTAGGCTGCATGACCAAACTCCACCTCTTATTCTAAAAACCAAAGAAGATCCAACAACCAAAGATAATTTATCAAAAAAATAAAAAAAAACTTAGGAGGCTGAGGACAGGGGTCACTGAGTTCAAGGCCAGCCTGGCTACATAGTAAGGTTTGGCTGTTGTTGAGACAGAGTCTTGTAGCTTAGATGGTGGTTTTGAGGCTCTGTTCCTAGGCAGAGGAGCAGCATCTGGACTCACCCTAAATAGGTAGCCAATGGCAGACCACAGCATGGACACCACCATAGTCTGGTGTGGTGAGCCATGAGTTTTACAGGGTACTTCCAGGAGTGTGGGTGAGGGGTCACTTACAGGAACAGAAATGGCTGCATCACGAAAGCCTTGACATGTGATGCCCTTAGCAGTAGGGGCTTTTTCTTAGAATCGTATTAGTTCATTTCTTGTGTGTGTGTGTTGCCTGTGTACCACGTGTGTGCATTACCTGCAGAGGCTGGAAGGGGGCGTTGGGTCCCCAGAACTGGAGTCACAGGCTGTTGTGAGCTGCCTTGTGGGTGATGGGAACCAAACTGGGCCCTCTGCAGGGGCAGCCACTGAGCGTCTTTCCAGCCTGTCCTGGAACTCACTCTGTAGACCAGGCTGGCCTTGAACTCAGATCCACCTGCCTGGGTCTCCTGAGTGCTGGGATTAAAGGCGTGTGCGACCACCGCCACCCAGCTTGAATGGACTTTTAATGTTTATGCTGCCATTTGTTAGTGGCTTTCACACATACCCAGGAGTGTAGAATACATAAGCATTGGCTTTGTGTTACCTATAGGTGACAGCCACCCTTTCACCAAGGACAGCCAGGACAATACATGCAGAGTCCCATAGTCCCATAGCCCAAGGTGGGGAGAGTCTGGGCCATCCACCGGGAACTGTGTCAGGGGACTCCAAGATGGCAGGACAGCAGGAAGGACGTGGTGCTTCCTAGCAGCTCCGTTACTCATCCTGGGAACTTGTAGAAGCCACTGTGTGTTCTCCTCACTGCTCTGGGGCTCGAGCTAGCTGCTCAGTCAGGGCCAGTGGGAGAAGAGTCACACGCCTCCCGGGTCATGCCTGAAGTCACCTTCTTGTGTGCTTGTATGTGCGTGCCTGTCTGTGTGTGTCCAGGCTTTGGGGAGCAGCTGCCCTCCGGTTGGCCAGGCTTACTCCCTTTACCTCCTGCTGTGTATCTGGTACCCCCATAGCCCCCAAGAACTGAGGCTTCAGCTGGGCGTTGGTGGCGCACGCCTTTAATCCCAGCAATCGGGAGGCAGAGACAGGCGGATGTCTGTGGGTTTGAGACCAGCCTGGTCTACAAGAGCGAGTGCCAGGATAGGCTCCAAAGCTACACAGAGAAACCCTGTCTTAACCCCCCCCCCCCAAAAAAAAGAACTGAGGCTTCTAGAACACTCCAAAGCCCAAATGTCAGCATCAACAGAAGACCAGTCACTCCACCACTGAACAGGAACTCGGGCTGTCCATCATCCTGTAAGCACCTGGCCACCCCTTCAGGGAAGTAGCTGGGAAGGTTCCCAGCCCTGGAGACCTCCTTCATGTCACTGGAGTGGGTGCTGTAGGAATCAACTGTCCCTATTTGTTACCGTGCTGAAGTTCTGGCCAGGCTCCTAGCACCCCAAGGGCTCACTGCATTTGGTCTCATCTGTCATTTTCCTGAGGACTTGGTGCAGTGTGAATCCACACAGGTTTGGCACTGGGAGGCATGGGCAGGTCCCTTCGATTAGTTTTTTCCTTTCTCTCTTCAGTTGTGTTAGTAGTTCACATGCTAGTCTAAGTCAGACAAAGACTGTGTGACATTACAGAGATCATGCCTTACCAAGGGACACACCAAAAGCTGCTGAAGCCCCATCCAGGTCCTGAGACCCCTAACAGATGGCCCTTCCCTGAGCTCTTGAGTGAACATTTCCTCATGGGGGACTGAGTGTCAAATGTCACTTCTCTTTCACCTTTCTGTTATTGCACCTGACACAGACACACCATTAGTCTCTTCCCAGGAGCTCTGGGAACAGATCACACTCTTGTCCCCGTGTCCCCCAGCTGTAAGAAACAGTAATGGCCTTACTATCCCATCCTCCTCTCTTGCGGTCACTTCTGCCATCTCAACCTGAAACCTATTTGATTACACAGCCTCCATGGAAGCCTGTTCAGACCCCTTTCACGCTACTCTCAGAGAGTGCCATGTCTGTTCTGTCCCATTCATCCCCTTGCTGGGCACCCCATACTAACTGGACCCCACTCATCAGGCAAATGTGCCGCCCTGTCCCCACCCAGACTTCAGCCATGGCTGCCTGTGTCCCTAATCACTATAGGGTCTCCTGGCACACTGTCATAGGGGAAGGTCACCGTACATCTGCCCTGGTGGGTGCTGCTCCCATACCACACCACACCACACAACCTCACTTGCTTGCCACTGCCAAGGTCATGCTCTCAGCTCTCTAACTCAGCTCACTGTGTGTGCTGTGTGATGCGTTTCCTGATGAATCATGAACAAACATCTCACCCCAGATAGAACCAGTGACAGACCATAGCTCAAATTGGTGAACCAGCGAGTCTTGTTGGGTCACTTGCAGGATTATGAAAGCAAGCTGGGGAGGAAAGGGTTTCTTTCAGCTCAGAGCTCTCAGGCCAGTCAGGGCAGGACCCTGGAGGCAGGAGCTGATGCAGAGGCCATGGAGGGTGCTGCTGACTGGCTTGCTCTCCATGGCTTTCTCAGCCTGCCCATGGGTGGAAATACTCACAATGGGCTGGACCCTTCCATATCAGTCATCAATCAAGAAAATGCCCTACAGACATGTCTTTTTGTAGGAGGTCCTGTAGCAGGCTTCTCTGGGGCCACCAACCAGTTTCCAAATCATGACAGGGAGACTTAATATTAGTCATGAATGCCCAGCCTTAGCTTAGGTTCGTTTCTTAGCTCTTATAACTTAATCGAACCTGTTTCTCCTTATCTGTGTCTCAGGGCTTTTTACCTTTCTTTCTTTCTGTACGTCTACTCTGTGTCTGGCTGACTGGTGGCTGCCTGTCTGGCCCTGGGTGTCTCCCTCCCTCTCTTACTTGTTCTCTTGTTCCTAGACTCCTCCTATCCCTCTGCTGCCATTCAGCTTATTAGACCAGTCAGGTGCCTTAGGCAGGCAAAGCAACACATCTTTACATTGTTCAACAAATGCAGCAAAAACAAATGTGACACACCTCCACATGGTTAATCTTCCACAACAAAGTCCCTCTTCCCAGATAGGTCTAGGGTTATCTAGTCACAAAAACAAAAACAAAAACAAAAACACAACCAGCATAGGGGTACTGACAGGATCAGAAACAACTCAAAGACAGCTATGTCTCCAACGCCCCAGCCTGGATGACAGTGTATGAAGTCTGAGGACCTGGATTGCGCTGCACAGCCTGTGGGAGGCCCCACAAAGTGGGTAGTGCCCTCCCAGGATGGCTCAGTTTTCTGAGTCTGTCTTAGGCAGCAAGGCTCATGGTCCTTACTGCTTACATAAATAGGGGTCGGGGTAGTCAGTGCGTCTGGTCAGCTTCAGAGACTTCCTGAAATTGCTGAGGTGTTGGCTTCCTGTCCTCAAGGATTTTGCTATAACAGTGAAGGTTTTCATCTTGGAGGAAAGGGCTGGACTTGAAATTGAGATTCTCCCTGACTCAGCCTCCTGAGTACTGGGATGATGACAGGTGGGTGCCACCACAACTGGCTTAATTTAGAGAGAGAGTGTGTGTGTGTGCATGTGTGTGGACCAGAGGTTGACATTCAGTATCTTCCTGGGTTGGTTGGTATGTTTCACTAATTCCAGACCAGGCTGGCCTTGAACTCACAGAGATCTGCCTGCCTCTGCCTCACAGTGCTGGGATTAAAGGCGTGAGCCACCAACGCCCGGCCATGGGTCACCTGTTTTTTTGAGACAGGGTGTCTCACTAACCAAACCTGGAGCTCGCTGAGGTAGCTGCACTCCCTGACCAGGGACCCTGCTCTCTCCCTTAGTACTGGGATTAACCACCTGACTTTTCTTGGGTCCCCGGTGCTCCACCTCCTGTGCTGTCTCCCCTGAGCCTGAGCCCCCCCCCCCCCCCAAGCCTCTTCTGCCTGTTTGGGTGGACCTGCTGCTGTGGGAGCTCCTGGGACAGTGTGCTGCGGCTGGGTTGGTGGCTCTCAGCTGTCCCCTCTCCTGCAGTGGCCAGTTTGCCATCGTGCGCAAGTGCCAGCAGAAGGGCACGGGCATGGAGTACGCGGCCAAGTTCATCAAGAAGAGGCGCCTGCCATCCAGCCGGCGCGGCGTGAGCCGGGAGGAGATTGAGCGCGAGGTCAGCATCCTGCGCGAGATCCGCCACCCCAACATCATCACGCTGCACGACGTGTTCGAGAACAAGACGGACGTGGTGCTCATCCTGGAGCTGGTGTCTGGTGGCGAACTCTTTGACTTCCTGGCCGAGAAGGAGTCGCTGACTGAGGACGAAGCCACGCAGTTCCTCAAGCAGATCCTGGACGGAGTCCACTACCTGCACTCCAAGCGCATAGCGCACTTCGACCTGAAGGTGATGCATGTGCGCGCGTGTGGGCCGGGGAGAGCAGGGCATGGCGGTGGGGGTGGGGGAATCCCTGAGGGTCACGCCGCCCCTGCCATCCTGCAGCCCGAGAACATCATGCTGCTGGACAAGCACGCCGCCAGCCCGCGCATCAAGCTCATCGACTTCGGCATCGCACACAGGATCGAGGCTGGCAGCGAGTTCAAGAACATCTTCGGCACGCCTGAGTTCGTGGGTGAGGGACAGGTGTGGGCACCACTAGGTGGGGTGGGCCCCTGCATGCCATCAGCCTGACCTGCCTCTGTGACCCTGTCTCCCACAGCCCCTGAGATCGTCAACTACGAGCCACTGGGCTTGGAGGCTGACATGTGGTGAGTGGGGTGGGGATGTCCCCCTCAGAATCCCCCCACCCGTGTTCCATCCTCCCCTAGCTGTTCCCAGCCTGCTAGTGAGGGTGTGGGCATTAGACAACTGCATGGAAGAGATGCGGCCCCTGCTCCGACCCCGCATGTGGGGCCTGCTCCATCACACAGTCTGGGCTGCAGGGTCTGGTGCAGAAGCTGCCCCCCACAGGATAGGGGCTCTCTGCAGCCAGAGAGGGACAGGCAGATGCTGGGCCGCATCGCTCCTGAGGACCTGCTGTCCTGGCATTAGCCCAGGTGCTTAGGTGACTCTGTGATTGACACCACACTCTAGAACACCTGGCCCTACCTAGTGGGGGACCCTGTGTCCCAGGCATGGGGTCCTGCCGTGGCCATGCCGACCCATCTTTTCTGCCCCCTGCAGGAGCATCGGAGTCATCACCTACATTCTGTGAGTGTTTCGAGGAGCCCCAGTCTGCACCTGCTGGAAGCCAGAGTCAGGGTTGGGGCCTGCTGCAGGGGTGCTGGGAGAGAGCCAGGGAAGGAGCTGCTCACTCTGTGTGACTGGCTGTACCCCTGACTATTGTCCCAGCCCATCGATGGGAGATTCTAGGCGGGGCTCCACCCTGGCCTAGGCAGGGGGGCTCCACCTTGACCACACCCCCAACTCTCCACTAAGTTTTGTTGACCCTGTTTTAGGGACTTTTTCTGGAGATGTTTCTCATGCTTCTCCAGAGCAGGCCAGTGTTCTGGGTCATCAGTCAGACCCAGGAGGGACAGGAGATGTCACAGGTTGCTTTCAATTGCTGTGATGAAACACTGACCAAACAGGGCCTTGGGAAGGAAAGGGCTTGCTCTCTCACACAGCCCACTCAACACAGAAATGTGGTGACTCTGCTTACTAGCTTGCTCAGGTGGCTTGCACGGCTGCTGTGATAGGGACCACCTGCTCAGGGCTGGCCTTGCACACTGTGGGTCCCACATCTGTCACCCCATAGACTGGCCTACAGGCCATTGTGAAAGGCAGTCTCCGATGAGACCTCCATTCCCAGATGACCCTAGCAGTGTTGAGGTGACAGTCATCAGTGGGGAGGGGAAGGGTTGTCAGCCCCCATCAGCTGAGCCCCTGCTGGCCCTCCACCCTGTCTCCTTGCAGCCTGAGTGGGGCGTCCCCGTTCCTTGGGGAGACCAAGCAGGAGACCCTCACAAACATCTCGGCGGTGAACTACGACTTTGATGAGGAATACTTCAGCAGCACCAGCGAGCTAGCCAAGGACTTCATCCGAAGGCTGCTGGTCAAAGACCCCAAGTATGGCGATGCTGGCCGACACTCAGTGACTGCACACACCTGCCTTTTTTTTTCGGGGGGGGGGTTGTTTTGTTGTAGTTTTGAGATAGGGTCTCCTGTAGCCCTCATCTTGCCTCCCTGTCCCCCTGCCGTTCTCCAGCCTCTAGGCCCTCCAGGACATCAGTGTCCACAGCTCTTAGGAAAACCCCACAGGGCTGGCGGAGTACAGCCCACCTTCGGGGTGGGGCGGCAGGGGTCTTGGGGGTGACAGGGTGGGTTCTCCCGCTGTGGGTCCCGCCCACCATGACCTATGTTGCCCTGATGGGGTTCAAGTGGAGTATGTCACAAGGCTGAAAGTGGGGTCCCGTGGGTGGTGCAACCCAAGGTGAGTTCCACAAGCGCTAACCCGCCCCACCCCACAGGAGGAGGATGACCATCGCGCAGAGTCTGGAGCACTTTTGCAGCAAGGTGAGGCCTCGGGGACCCAGGGAGCGGG